ACGTATGGTTAAGATATAAATATGGACAGCAATACAGCCAATGCAGACATATTCATAAATCGGAGACCCGGGAATATGCTGAAGGAGAAGGAACAATTCACTCTTAACAGCATGACACTTCCAAATGCTGCATTTACCTTCCTGATAAAACCACACAAAGTCTGAAAACGGAGCACTGAATGAGGCCATCTTAGCCCTTACTGGATGAGATCTTCCCAGCAGCATTTTGCATATTGATGCACCACAGAGTCTCAGTTTAAGACAGCCATAATTCATAATTAACTACATTACTATGATGGGGCCCTTGTAAGGAGGAAGGAGAGATGGGATATGATGAGACCAAAAAAAATAGAGTTGACATTCTTAAAAATCAAACAGCTACCCATAGAGCAGCCTAAAATCAAAAGGTTTGCACAAAAAATAATTTTATTTCTAAAGCATCTCCATCAAACCTTTCGCCATTATGTGAGAAGCCACTGTTGCAGCCATACTGAAATAGTGTTAGAGAGCAAAACAAGTCACCAAATCCTTGTGACACAAAAAACCGCATGACCATGATTCTAATGTGGGCAGATAAAAGAACAAATATGTGAACAGCTATTACCTTCTGACAGTCTCTGGATCTCCATATGTGGATATGGCAAACATACAATAATGCAACCAAATGTCCACCGAATATGTGACCCCAAGAACAGCCCGTTCATATACCTCAACAACTTTGTCCATAAAACCAAGGCGTGCTTCATGATCTGCATACTTCTTCCAATAACCATAACACAAAGGAAATTCCACCAAAAAAGCATCATACACTTTTCGAATTTTCAATATCCTGTCCTGCATAGTTTATAGGTGAACATGTTAGCTCCACTAGAACAAGAAATCAGATTGCAGATACATACACATCAAAGAATAAGATCAGAAAGGATAGAAATTAGCTTCATTGATAAATGATATAGCATGTTAATTCATTTCCCTCCATCATTCAAATGTCAGATGCTAGAATCCTACAGCATTATTGATAGCTCAATCATTTGAGGACAGCTAGGATCTAACTAAAAAGATGGCTTAAAGGTCAACTGCTTTTCATCCAACTTAAGGAAGATCAAACAAACACAATTTTTCCAGAAAATTCAAAATATCTTTATTTCTCATGAGAAAACATGATTGCGGTAAAAATATGTGCACAGGAACCAGCAGTTCATCACATGAATGAAAGTTCATACCCCAGCCACCTTCTCTGTCTCATCTATTAAGGCAGTCCATGCATCAAAATCCAAAGAATTAGCCTTAACAATGCTCCACAGGTGGTCTTCTTCAGCTGACATTTCTGGCACTAAAGAGATTGGGGAAATTGATTAGGTAACACCTAAGAACTACTAAACAGAATCGTCTGCATAGAGATTTGTTGGGTAGGGGGGGGGGATAGAAAAACAATAACAAGGATTAGCCAAAAACATTTACTTCACAAGGAAACAGACACTCCGGTCAACCCTTAAAGGGAAAGAAAGGAAGTCGAGATTATGAGTTTAACAAAATCATTCATCAGTGATTATTGAAGTAAGGATTTAAGGACTCCTAAATTTGTCATAAACTCTAAATAAAATTACACAAACTTTTTCAGGATTCTACGTTACATCTACCTTTCAACCAGATATGAGTGAACAGCCTCCTGTGCTCAACAACCAATTTATTGTTCACATTTAACTTTAGATTGAAGCATTTGTGACCAACCAAGTTCCACTATGTTTCATGCATGGGAACAAACCCATCATGTAAACCACCAAGATGCCTCGAAAAGAAATGAACGTTGAAATGCCTAAGAGCACTTGAAAAAGAAAAGACAATACTTAAGTGTCTCAGCGCGAGTAAAAAGACGCATGGACCAATAAAATGCCACGTGAAATCATAAAAAAAACTTGCTTTTAATTGACATTGGATGACCTTATGAGGAAAATTACCAGTCATTTGTGAGCTTATTCAAGAAATGAAAAAAAAGGGAGATTCTACCTAACTGGTTTTTTTCAGAATCATGTAAGTTTCCATGATTCAATAATAAACCCCTCCTATTTTCATATAGCAAGATCAACACAACAAGATCTTACATAGCAAGCATACCATGTTGTGCAAGCCAAATTCTTTAAAAGCCTAGACTGCAACCTCTATCATCAAATATACAGACAACAAGCATGCCAGAGAAGCCATACCAGAACCATCCACAAAATGCTGCTCAGGAGCAGCTCCACCCAAAGCCTCTCCAGCATTTCCATTCTCAGCTGATACAGCAACTCCAGCTTCAGTTCCAATATTTCCATTCACAGCCGAATCATAACCACCAGCAGCTGTGTTTTCAGCACTACTGTTTATTCCAACATGCGCCTCTGGTACACCAGAACTAGAGTCCGCACCATATGTATTTCCCGTATGACCTCCCTGTGCTGCAACAGTAGAAGCAGCAAAATTTCCAGTGCCTTCCACATTAAAATCACCAGGGCCAGGAACAACAACTGAACCAGAATCAGCATAGCCAGTAGACGCATACACAGCTGCCGGATAATCCATGACTGCAGACGGTTCAGTTACTACTGTCTCACTATCTCCCATACTCTACAACTTATACAGTCTGCAGTTATACAAACAAAACACATTCTATTATCAATTCGTTCCGGCCTTAAAATCACAAGGATTTAATCAAAGCATTCAAATCCATAATCATTATTACGATAGCATAAACAGCACTTAATTAATTGCTAAGCTAACAGTTAATTCGAAGAAAAGACTGCAAATACTGCACCACCGTTCGATTCAGTTACAGACCTAAAAGTAGATCGCTAGTAGCTTCTCAGTTAATAAGCAATAAGAACAATGGATAAACCCTAATTTGACGAACTTGTAAAGCAAGACCTTAGGAGGAAGCGGAAATGGAGGGGAAGAGGCAAGCGAGCGAATGGAGGAACCTGGTGGTGCAGAGACGACGTCGCGTTCTGTCTTCTATTGAGAGAGCTTTGGTTTTTGTGTTGTGTGTTTTGAGTTTCGTGTTTTGGTGGGGAACTAAACTCCTGGGACGCCGAGAGAGCAGAGAGAGCTGGAGATCAGTGTTTTATACAGTTGAGAAAGCGGGGTGACGTGTGTTGCTGTCGATTCTAGTTTCCGTGATGCTCTAACTTTGAGCCGTTAGATTGTTGAGTGCGGATTGGTGTAATCTTGACCGTGTGATTTCATGGTCTTTTTTGTGAGGTACTTGCCACGTCATCATGAGTTAGGGTTCCCCGCTGCTAGGAAAGGAAGTCCCGACTTACCAAGTGGGCCCAATTCATGGGCCGAGATATAGGCCGAATAAACTATCCATCAGCTTCGACAGAGTGGTGATTGTTTTTGCATTATTACCCTTTTTCATTGTTTTTCACTTTAAAAAAATATTCAATTGATATTTTTTATAATTTTAATATGATAAAAAAAATTTAAAAATATATTTTTAATTAAAAAATTTATTTGAAAAAATATTTTACATCATAATACTAATCATACAGTTGAAACAATATATATAGAAAGTGTTTAATTTAACTTTTGTGGTTGAGGTTGTGGTTGGGTACAACCCATTTATGCACAAAACTCAACCACAAAAACTAATATTTTTTGTTTTTCTTAGGTTTTTTAGTGGATCTCATATCCAAACCACAAATTCCACCACTAACACAAACACATACATAATAATGATTCGTATTAACATAAAAGAATTACTGTAGTTGTCTTATATAATATATAGAGTAATTGTAGTTGTAATATAATATATAGAGTAATGGTACAAGTTAATGTAGCTTTCAAACAATATGAAAAGAATTATTATATATCAAAAATCAATTAATAGTTTAAAAAGGAGATGTTAAAATATATCATTTAAATAAAATATATTCATAGCATGACGTTCAGGTTGATTCTTGTTGCATGAATCTTTCATCATAACATGGCGTCCAGGTTGATTCTTATTACATGAATTTTACATAATTGAATCAATTGTTATTTGTTTAACATAAAGTTACAGTTAGCTAAATGTTTAATTAGTGTTATTAAACTTATTTTAAACTTATTAGGTTAATTTGATTTGATTATTAACTTAACATGGATTGAGTTTTAAATTAAATTAGATGGAGCTAATTTGATAGACATTATAAGTCAATCCATAGCATGGTCAAAACTTGATTTGATTATTTTTATTTTTAATAATATTATTTTAACTTTAAAAAAAAATAAAAAATAAAACATTTTAAATTGATTTAATCAACCTAAGTTAAGTTGCTCAACTAAAACCTTGAGTTAGGTCATGGGTTGTGTTAAGTTTAGTAACTCCATATTTAATTGTCATGACCGAACCATCTTTAATTTTTAAAATCAAAAGGTCAATATTAGAAAATTTTAACATGGAAGCAAAAGGAGACATTTTTAAACTACCAAAGTTAAACCATAGCTCATTTATTTTTATTTGTTTAACATAAAGTGACAAGCATCTTCGTATCAATGTTTAACCAGTGTTATTAAATTTGTTTAAAACTTGTTAGATTAACCTGGTAATTTATTAATTATTAACCTAATTTTGATTAAGTATCAAATTAAATCAGGTAAGGCTAGCTTGGTTGATACGACAAGTCAATCCACAGTATAATTAAATCTTGATTTGAGTACTTTTTATTTTTTAAAACGATATCATTTTAACTTTACAAAAAAAATATTTTAGATTGACCCATTCAATCCGAGTTAGCTCGCTTAACTAAAAACTTATATCAAGTTTAATAACTCTACGTTTAATTGCCATGACCGCTCCATCTTCAACTTTTGAAATCAAAGAGTCAGTATTAGAAAGATTTAACCTACGAAAGCAAACTGAAACATTTCTAAGCTATAAGGGCTAAAACACAATCCATCCATTTTTTTTTTCCAAAAAAGATAATGAATTAAGGTTTTTGTGGATATAGATAGAAGAAGAGAGAGTATTTATCTCCGATCGCAGAAAAGAGTATTTATCTCCAATCGTAGAAGGGGCAACTAGTACAGAACAGAAACATTAAGAACAATGGTAAGCAAGCAAAACCCAGTTCTACAAAGCTAGTTAAAAAGAGAACAATTGATTAATGTCTAGAACTTTGGGTATTTTTATAATTAGGGCAAAGGCGCTAAAAACTTTGGGAAGAGGATGAGCAAAATAGATCCGCACAAAGGATGATGTGGTTGAGGTACATCATCTTCAATAGAACCAGTGTATTTCAAGTTTGAACTTTGCTCAAGCTATTAGAGTCTTCAAATGAATTGTGTTACCTCAATGTTAATCTTTAGTTTTTATTTCATGGAAGACAAGTTTATTTAAAAATAACTTTTCCAGTAATAATTATCTTGTTTAAGTAAAAAATACATTTTAAAAAATAACTGCATGACACAAAACATATTTTTTATATCCTGGTTAATACTTTATATGACTCAGTTGGCTTTAAGCTACCATGTAAAGATAAAAAATATATCAATGTTTATGTTTTTAAAATATATAATTTTTTAATTTTTTTAAAAATAATTTATCATACATACCTTGTCTTTATAATCAAATATATATTTTTATCTTTTCATGACACACGCAACTTGAAAATCATATTTGTTTACGATGTATCTGAACTCTTAAAGCTTTTTCTTGTGTTCCGAGTAGTGTCTCTCTCTTATTCACCTAGATTTGCAATAACCTTAGTTTTAGCTTGCTTCTTTAACCCATAATTACAACTTTTTAAAGTCAAAGAGCTTTCATTCTTCCACTTATTTCTCTTTCCTACCATCCAATCATTATCTGTAAGCAAACTTAATGTGAGCTCTAGTGTAATTTAATGGAATTTGCGATCCAAAAATCATCCTAATCCAAGTTTGTTGAAATTTAAATGAGCTTGTCACAATAAAAAAACTTGCTTTGAGGCAACAAGACTATAAATCAACTCAATCACAACGTCTACACTTGAAGACAAGCAAAAGAAATATAAATTCACAATAAAAAATGATCAATTATTTGAAGAGTTGAGAATTCAATCAAGAACCAAGATCGAGCAACCAAAAAGTCGGCTACGATGCTGAAAATATCATCAAAAATTTGCTAAAAAATTATTCCTAAAAAGTATTTAAACTCGAAGCTAAAACCCTAGTTTTCTTAATGGGTCTTACATGACCTTAATTTAAATAATAATCAACTCAAGCTAAAACTAAACCAAACTAATTAAAATAAACAAGTCAAAAATCCAAATAAAATGTCTCCTCTCAAAATAAATAAAGTTTGATATCCCAACTAATTAAATAAAACAAGTTCGTTATTTCTATATTATGTCTGGTAACAGCAAAAGCCTAACTTAAAATGGATGGTTCTCTCGCATCTTAATGAATTAGAAGACGTGCCATATACCATAAAAAAGTTATGGAAGTTTCGTTTCCAACCAAACTAAAATAACATCAAAAATTGATTTGTAGCTTCAATTATGACCAAAAGAATCACAAAAGGTCAAACTATCCATATCTAGTATTCTTCTCTCAATCTTTATGTAATGGTCTTGGTTCCACCACCAAGTCTTTCTTGAACATAAATCAGATTAATCAAGACTTGCTTTTTATTATTACAAATCCTCTTGAAGTTCACCTTAGCACATGTCTTTTAAAGAAGTCCATTAAAAGTTTATTTGAACTTCTTAGCCCCAAACCTAGTAACTTGACCAACTGGAACCTCCAATTGATCATTTGATGGTTGGATCGCATCAAAAGCCATATAAATACTAGTAATTTGCAATTGAAAAACTAAGTTCAATCTTGAAAGAAGTTCAAAAATAACAAAAACAATGTAAACAAGACATTAGGACTGAACAAGATTGCTGAGAGTTTCAAGTGTTCTTGGATTTAAGTTTGTTATTCTCTCTTATATGTTTCTTGTGTATCTGGCAGAACCATGTCTTTAAATAATGTAGGATATGTTAAACCTTTAAATGCATAAACTTGTTGTGTTTTCAAGTACGTGATGAAACAAGGCTTTGCAGTTCTTGCAACTAAAGCTGGAGGGGAAGAAGAATCAAGTTGATTCTCTTTTTTTACCATAAGTTGGAGCAATTACAAGTTATATTAACCACACCCCACCAATAATATTCCATATAACTATTCATTTATTATAAAAAAATGAAAACCATGAAGAAAAAAATAATGTATCTGAATAGTAAAAATATTTTTTTGTCCTTCCAACAAGAAATATGTGAACTTGTTCTTAGGATAATTTAATCTTTCTTACATGAGATATTAGTCATTATGTAATTGTTTGGAATAATTTGATTTTTTATATTTTAAAAATATAGTATAAAGACTATATTATCTTTGAAATCAAAATTTAAATTAGTCGAGAAGGGTTAATTTAATCTTTTCATATATTTTTAGGAGCAATGTTAAGAATGTTATATCCTTAAAGTAAAAAACTTAGAGCTTGCAATTATGGGTGTTTGTGTATTTCCAAGTTAGGTGGGTTTTTTTTTGTAGTAAACAAGTTGATGTAGTTGATTTGGTATTTTCATTTTTTCAATGAATAATCTAAAGATTTTGATACCCTTACAAGCAAAAAAGTTAAACTTACAATTAAGGATACATGTATTTTTATGCTGATTATTTTGTAATAAATGGATTGATTTGGTCTTTTTACATTTTTAAGGAACAATATAAAGATTTTAATATCTTTATGTGTGTGTATAACTTGAAAGGTTATAAAAAAAAATTATTGGTATTTGTTGTGTCATTTTATATTCAACTCCATCTTTCAAGGTGGCATTGAAAGTGACTGTCTTTTTCCTTTCAACGATGATACATGTATAGTTTTAATAGTAATAGACGGACTTCACACAAACTTTTTTTCTCTCAATCTTTTCTCTCTCTTTTCTTTGTCAAAGAATAAATATGTCTTTTTATTTTTTTTCATCCAATTTAATCCCTGTTTATTTATTTGTTTTGTTTTAATTTTTAATTTTATAATTTTTATTCTTCAATTATATCCCTCATCAATTGGTTTCATTTTATTTCCACATCGAATTTAGCCTTTTTTTACTTTATTTTTAATTTTTTTTATCCCTTTCATGATTAAATTTTGTTTTTAATTTTACCCCTTAATATTTAATTTTAAATTATTTTTATATTAAATTTAGCATCTTTTTATTGCATTTTTTTTCAATTTTATTTTGTAACATTTTATTGATTTGCAACATTGTTTCGTTATTTTTTTCAGGTTTCCCTTCAATATGGTTAGTCTTGAGCTCATGATTATGATAACTGGATTTGAAGATTAACTTTAGTTGATTATAATTTTTTTATGTTTTTTTAAAGATTTTTTTATTTAAATTTCACCCTCTAATGTTTAATTTACTATGACTTAGTTTTCATGTTTTTTTTGTTTTATATGATTATCTTAACTATGTCTTCATAATTATGAAGTTAGCTAATTAATTCGAGTTGACACGATTTTTTTATTTTTTTTAATTATTTGTTTTTATAGTTTTTTGTTTTTAATATTAAGTTGTTTTGTGATTGAACTTTGTAATTTAGCTAAATATATCAAGATTTTTTTTTGAATATTTTTTACATTGTTAATTTTTTATCTATTTATTTTTTATTATTATATTTTTTAATCTGTGTTATTTAAATTATTAAATATTATTAAACTCAGTTGAGTTAATTGCTGAGTATCAAATTATTATTATTATTTAAATGCTTTTGTTTCCTTAATTCAGTGTGGTTTCCCTGTCCAGTACTGTCTAATATACCATGATTAAACATTATTAATGTTTTGAGCTTGTAGGCCGGTGAAATAGATGTAAAAGATAGGGTACTGGACGGCTGGAATAATGACATCAAGTATGGTTGTACTCGTATAAAAAAATATTTTAATATATAAAATATTTTTTAAAAAAATACTTGATATTATAACACCATACTCTAAATATTCTCCATTAACTTCTTCTTTTTTTCCATCTCCCGATCACCTTTGGGAGATATTAAAGTGATTTGATAAAATAAAAATTTAAAAATATAATTATTAAACCTGCTTGATTAATTAAAAAATTTCATAATTCAAAACTTAATTTAATACGAGTTTAGATTTAATACTTTTTTCTTGTATAAATATACTTATATTCGTTTAAAGAGTGAGGCTAATTTTTTTTAAGATTTGTATATGACCTTTCTAATAAATAAGTTTTTCAGGAATTAAACTTGTATTTTTATTTTTACAATGATATAACAATGTTTCAATCATTAGACAAATATTTCATTAATAATTTTAAATTTAATATGAAAAACTACTGCATGTCACCATAAAAGAAAAAAATGTAAAAATTATTATTGCTATAAAAACAATGGACTTAATTGACTTGAAAATACATATATTAATCCAATGACGTAATAATTCAGGTATCCTTTCGGATCGTTCGCTGGACCGAATCAATAAAACCCTTAAAAGAAAGCCAAAACCCCTACCCTATCAGTCATCCACCATGGCTTCGCAGTCACGAAGAGGCGGAATCTCACTCCCCGAGAGGCGAGGACGAGGCTCGTCAAAGCAGGAACCAAACATCCTCGCCAAAATCAACAACTCTCAAATCGTATCTAAGGGAAAGCAAGCAGCCTGCGACGCCGTTTTTGTCGCCAAAAAGCTCCTTAAAAGCACAGGCAAGGCCGCTTGGATTGCTGGCACCACTTTCTTAATCCTCGCTGTTCCTTTGATTATCGAGATGGACCGTGAGCAGCAGCTCAACGAACTCGAGCTCCAGCAGCAAAGCCTTCTCGGAGCCCCGCCCGTCGGCCCTCCTCCACCCAAGTAGTGATTGTTACATTATCCTGTGCTTGATTTTTTTGTGCGATCTGGAGTTTGAGCTGTTATAATAAATGATGTAAGGCAATTTTCTCTCTTTCTCCTTGGAAAAGAAATTGAATGTCTTAATTTTGCAACTACAGTGATAATTAAAGTGGATTTTGGTGATCAGTGATAAGATTTTGTGAGTTGTCAGGGTTTGTCTTTGTGAAATTTGAATGTCTAATTGATACTTTTGATGTTTGTTGATGAGTAAGGTGGATTTCGGTGATTAATGATTGGATTTTGTGATTGTTAGGGTTTATCTTTGTGAGATTTGAATGTCTGTTTTATACTGTTGATGTTTATTGTCATTTGTTGATGATACGTAACTAATTTGAATGGATAATAAGCTGGTAATTAATCAAGTAAGAAACCTTTTGATTTATGAGTGAAAGCAAAACCAAACTGAAATTGAATAGGCTAAATGACGGAAAACTATCTTCAACTCTGGGTATAAACTTTAATATTTTTTTTATTGGAGTACTTATAATTATTTGTTGGTAGAAAATATGCCTTTCCAAATTGCGTGCTTTTTCTAGACTGTTATTTACTGTCAAAATTAACAGAAAGGTCTGATTTTTTACCAAATATTTGTTGTATTTCTAGACTATTAGCTTCAGGAAAAATTAGCAGAAGGGTCTTTTTTTTATCAAAATTAGTTTTAGGTACTCAAATAAATAAATAAAAATAAATTTAGGGGCTAAGTTCTATTTGACCCAAAATTCAAGTTGGTACAGAAATGGGATTTTCGATAGCTGGAGACAAGAGATTCATATGAGAAAACAGAAGTAAACGAGCATTCAAAGTAGTTTTGGGTCATCTAGCCAATTGAAGACGCCAAGCTGTAAGCACAATGTGTTCGTAAAGTAGCTTTTCTTGTGTTTGGTTTCTCATATATTTCCTTGAAGGTGACTTTAGTTCCTACTTTTAAGAGATTATATGGTTGCATTTGGTTAGTGTTTTATGATGGAAGTGACAAATGCATAAGAGATAGAAACATGTTTGGTTGCAAGGATGGAGATAGAGACAAAACAAATCCATCTCTGGTTTAGTTTTGGAGTAAATTTATATCCTATCAAAACAAGAAGGACAAGGATATATGTCCCCTTTGTCTTAATTGTTTTTGTCTTGTCAGTTATAGTAATCAAACGCTGCCTATAAGATATTCATGTGTCTCCTAAGGTTGGTTTTTACTTGTATACAAGAATTTGAGATTTGAAAATCTTGGAGGCAGCCAAGTGTGAGCCCAGGCTTCCTTGGTGAAGTTATAGTTTATTGGGATATAGAATTAAGCAAGGTTAGGGCTGTAAGGGATATTTGCTAGTTGCTGGTGATGCTTTCAAATTATACAGGTAGAGATGACTAGCTGTTGGTTGGTTTCTTTTGGTTTAAATGCTGGGTTTAGCTTTTGTTGTGCAGTTCTGGAACGTTCAACCTAAAACTGTTTTGATGCTGGTATAGCATTCATGCATAGGGTTCCACTGTTCACTTGTAGAATTGCAAGTATGGCTACTCTGATTCACCCAAATGAATGGAGTAAACACGCTTGAGTTATCTCTTTTACTAATACTGTCATTAAAATGATGCACTGATTCGAATCACACATACCTTATGGATTTAATTGTGAAGATAAAAAGTCCATTGTTGGTCTATCTTCTGTTCGAAAATGCTTCCCTGTTTATTTTGTAAATCTGCCTCACTGCTTGTAGCTGTTGATAGTGCTGTCAGCGGACTCTGCTCGCATAGGTCATCTTTAATGTTATTTCCCTTTCATATGTTAAAATGGAAAATGATCATTGCGAGAGACCTTTACCCCCATCCAAACTAATCACAAATTTTTTCGCTCTTATCTTCAATGTTGATTATGTTGTGATGCATAATATTTTTCAAGTTCTGGTTATGGCTTTTATTTTATACACAAATCATGAACATGAAAATTGCTTTTATTAGCATCTAACTACTTTCAGATTTGCTAAGCCTCCACTGTTCCCCAATATATGCTAGTATTTGCACATATTTCCATCTTTTCTCCTTGTGTTTGCCCGAGTTTTCATATTTTAAAAGGGGATCTCATCAAAATGTTGTTTTTATCAAATGGTTTTCTTACAGACTTAATGAATCAATCTAGCTCGGATTTTTTAAGGGTTCTATGAATCCTTGTGATTTTTTTAGGGTTCTGTGAATCCATTCATTCTTCTTAATTTGTTTGTATTAGTGAAGTCTGGCTTCCAAGTTTTAAGTACCCCTCCCTACAAAAAAATTAAAAAATGCGAATTCTCTCTCCCTTTCTCTCTCTTTTTATCTTGTTTATTTTTACATTTAAAAAAAATTAATTAAATTTTATTTTTTTCTATATTTTAAATTAATATGTTTTTGGTGTTTTTAGATATCAGAAATAATTTTTAAAAAATAAAAAAAATATTATTTTAATATATCTCTAAATAAAAAATATTTTAAAAAATAATATCAACCACGTTTCCATAATTCTCTCTCTCCTTTCTTTAAAACATGCGTTTTAAAAAAATAAGATCAACCACGTTTCCATAATTATCTCTCTCCTTTCTTTAAAACATGCGTTTGATTTCTCTAAATACCCAATGGAAAGTCTCATGCCCATACCACATACTGTCGAATGTCGAGATTGCTCACGGGAATTGATAGTGATTTAAATAATAAATAGTCTGCTGCACTTGCATATGAACCGGTTCTTGTTTGGTTCAAGCCAATTTTTAGCCGGTTCAGTCTATTCTTTCTAGGTTAATTGCACAAACAAACCATATCCTCAGACCGAACTGGTCCAAGATGTGGCTCACCTGTTCATTAGTTGGACTGGTCGGTCTGGTTTGATAACGATGCAAATTGGCACCATCATCCATTTGTTTCAACATTATATTTTAAGTTATCTAACTAAATATTTTATTTTGTTTTTTGAAGAGTGAATTGCGAGAAAAGGACCTAAAATGAGCATTTCTTTTACGCAAGAGATTAGAAACAGTATCAATTACAGAGAGGATTGAAAGCAACAGGGAGGCCCTAGGACTTGGTAGTGGGTTTAGGAGCTCCACAGCCCATAAAAAGCTTTTGATTTTGATAGTGGCGTCCCTGTCTCCATAGAAATCTCTTCAACCTTATCTCATAAGAAGACAATTCCAGATATATTGTGCTTGCTTGTCCTTTTGCTGATCATAATGTTTTCCTGAACTGGACAGGCTATTTTTGTTGACTTTGGCAACAAAAACTTGTGTTTGATTAAGGTGAGTTGACAATTATGCGTGTCCATTTCTCTAAAAACACCGTGATTTTAGCTTAATTCAGCTTGTGTTAAGACTTGTAACTCTATTTTTCCTCTTCTTTTAAAAAGGGATTTCTTTTGACTTTGAGGGACCCCTGTGAAAGCCTCCATAAGATCTGCCTCTGCTTGTGTTTCATGGAGGAGCAAAATCAAAGGTGGTACAGGGCCCATCTTTCTTAACCATTAAGAGCAATGATAATGTGCTGATTTTGCTTAGAAGAATAATGCTGTGATGACGAAGAAAGAGTGTGGTAGGTAACACCAACACCAATGCTAAAGATTGACAGATTTATGCATGATTTGGAAGTGGGGTTAGGCCTATTGCCTAATTTGAAAATAGCCTAGAATGAGAAGGATTGAGCATGGAGGAGACGATGGCCATCTCTCTTGTGGCATGATTTTTCCTTTTCTTGAACACACTGTATCATCGTTATTGGAGCTTGTCGACAGAAGAGAGGTAAAGGTCAGGTGACCCTTCTACTCTGGGAATGGGGTGAACCCAAGTCTCCTTGGAAGCAATTAGGATTCGAGTCTTTGATGAGAAATTGTAGCTGAAATTGTTTTTCAAAACACATTTAGGTAAATAAAAAATATACGAAGCTATGATTTCTTAGGTGATTTTAATATGAAAAAACTAGAATTATAAAAAAGCAAGTGAAGAAATTGTAGTTGGTAGACACCACTGATCCGAACATAGATATTGATTTATCTGGATTAGTTATTTTTGTTAAAAATAAATCTCAAAGTTGAACTGGCTAAGTGGGTTTTACCTTGTGATTCTTTTCCGATCAGCTTATTAGTCTTCCAGTCAAAATAAAAAAAAACATCAAATTTAAAATCTTTTTAGCTCAAATGCATCTTTTTATAAAAAAAAACACTAAAACTGTATTTATCAATATTATTAAACTTAATCTAACTTGATGGGTTAATTTAATAACCATATTTAAGCAAATCAGATTAAAAACAAACCTAGTCAAACACGATAAATCAACCCATCAACCCATTGTGCGGCCGAGCTTGTCTAGTTTGATTTATGAAAAAAAAAAAAAAAAACATTTCACCCTTTTCTAAAGAATACAGTCTTAAAAAAATATTTATAAAAAACTTTACTAGGATTAATCTAATTAATCCATGATCTAGTATCGGACGGAGTGGTTTTATAAAGATCATGTTTCTGGAAAAAACCGGCCGAAAGCAACGTCAGTGGCAAGTGGTTTGCAAAGCGTGGCAAAAGGAAACGCACCGAGGGATGCTTTTCACCGCATACATTCTAATCCAATTTTTTAAAGTGGAGTGTTTTAATTGGAATACTGGTGCTAACACCTTTCTGAAGTATAATAAAGAAACGAAATAATCAAAAAGATCAGTATCATATAATACTAGCAAGTCCTCTGAGATTCTTCAAATGCAATGTGACTATACATATGGCGGGCAGAGAAGCAAACTACAAGGAGACAGTGTACTAGTAGCATGGAGACTTGCCGCTATCTGTGGATGTACATGAAAAAGGAACTCCTCGAGTAAGAATTGCAATAATATATATATATATATATATATGGGGACATGTATGTATCTTTTTCTCTCACAATCACAAGACAATTTCTTGCCTAACTTTTACTTTTGCTCTGCAGTTTCTTAGATTGTGTTCCGACAGTAGTTTTTGCGGTTAAGGAGACTCGAGGCTCAAAATACATCTCCGGCCGCAATCAACAGCAAAAACAAACAGAGACTAGTTCAAACCCAGCTCATCATCCTCTTAATATTCTGCCCTTGAAATCAATACATACAATTACATGCAAACACAGCTAGGACTAAAGTGTTGTGTGGTAAACAAGGTGGTGGTGGAAAGGGTGAAGGAGTGGATGATGAACAAGTCAATTCCAACCTTCATGCTTACCACGTCTTTTCTTGAGGATAGACTTGATAAACATCAAACAAACAACTCCAAACCCCAAAGCTGCCACTCCTCCAACTGCAATGGCCACTGTCCTCTGTGTGTGCTGCCTGGTCCCTACGTCTATAAAACACCACACACATCACTGGCATTAGAAAACTTTTATTGTATTATGAGGCAATAAATAAAACCCTAGGTTTCTTTTTCTTTGACCAAGGTTGGTTTTCACCTCTAAATCTAATAAAACAGAAAAAAAATCCCCAGCCCCCTTGAATCAGTGCTAAGAGGACTATGCAACTTTGACCAGGTAATCAGTCAAAAAATTCACCTGTCTCAATCACACAAAAAGCATCTCCATCTACATGCGCCCTATTTCTTGTATACATCTATTTACTTTTATTCACCATCATCATCGATCAAAATTATTATATTAAGGGTCTAGGATCTCACTTTTCCCACTCTTGTTTCTCTGCAAAAAACACACCTTTCAAGCTTCCTAGTGGGAGCAAATAAATAAATATACAAAGAAGCTCCTTGTAGAAGATAGCATTGGTTATTAGGGATATATACATATTGTAATACAAAATGAAAGGTGCCTTCAAGATCCAAAGACATTGATGTTTTGTCTTTTTAACTTTACCTGAAGTTGAAGAAATGCTAGGCACTCCATTGGGGTAATAGCTGTAGCTAAGATAGCACTTGTTGAGGTAGAGTTGCCCTGAAATTGAGTCACCACACTCACTCTTCACACTCTGTACAGCAGTATTCACACAATCCCCACAATCCCCGCTTGACAAATCACCTTCACACTGGCCCAGAACAAACACTGACTGGTACTCTCCAGTGTAAAACAGCCCATCGCTACCATTTTTAACACCATCCACCATAGTTTCAAAAGCCGCATCTCTCCTATCCTCGAACCCGGTTCCACTCGCCTTCGTTGACCCACAAACCTTGTACAGCAACTCAGTTCCTGATACCTGCTTAAAACCAGCAACCTCGTACTTCAGGTAACACCCACTGAGTTGGACCCTGGCAGCTACCACTTTGCCACAAAGCTTGTCGATCAAGTCCAGGACTTTACTAACACAAGCATGGCAGGGATTGTTAGAGAGGTCCCCTCTGCATTGGTATAGACCCGTAATGACATTTTGACCATCACCAGATGTTGCTGTGAAATAAATTTTCTGTGAAGATTGTGAAACCAGAGAATTCAAGAGGTTCCTGAGGTTTTGAGCATAGATCCCCGATGGGTCTTGAAATTTTTGGTCAGCACACCCCTTGAAAACCAGAGTTGTGTAATCTGCAGCACCTACGACTGTCACTAAAAATCCAAAAACTGCAATCACAAACATGGTATTAGACAGGAGAAAAGAGGGTTTTCTGAATAAACCCATCTGAGATTGTAGGCTAATTTCTTTTCTTTTCTCGGTCCAAGCCTTAACACACGAAAGGTTGATCCTCTTGGAGTGTGAGAATTGGGAGGTTTCCAGGGTTTAGGCTAAAATCAACAACAGAGAAGCTTGGTATATAAGGGACTGACTATGCCAACCTGAGGTTTCCTCTAGACTTGGGGTGGAAGTAGCTTTTTTGGGTTGGTTTTGGTTTCCTTTCCTTTTCTTTTCTTTTGAACTCGCTAACTTTCCTTCCCTGCTTTAATTGCTTGGCACAGACACCTAAACAATAATGATAGACACGGACAAGTATTTCAAACATCATGTTCAAGTGGTAAAATCAGGGGTTAAGTGTTCATTAACAGAAGTTAATATATTAAATATTTGCTAATAATACCAAGGGTCCTTCTGTTTTTACAGTGTACAAGGCTGCTTGATTTCGTGTTTACACGGATTTTAAAAGTATTTTTAGTTTGAAACAAAAAAAATAATATCTTTTTAATATTTTATGATAATTTCAATGTATTTATATAGTGTTTTGCCACAATCAAGTAATCATATATTTGAAAATATTGGATTAGTTAATATATATAAAAGTTCCATTAAAATTCATTTAAAAAGTTTTAATTTAAAAGAAGATATATTTCTTAAAAAGATATATTTCTTTAAACTGCAAAGCAAAAACTTGAATAGTGTCAAATATAAACTAAATGTCACTGTAAAATGAAAAAGACAAGACATAAAGATCTGATTGTGTATGCATGATTTTGGAACACTGGAGAGTTGCGACCAGGGCGGCTGCACTGGTGTTTGACTGCGGTAAAAAGAACATGGATGCTGTGTTGCGCTTTTGGATACAGATGCAGATGGTAAATGCTGGTTTTACTCGTTACAAAACCGGACGACCTTAGGATTTTATTTTTAATCGAAAAATGTTTTTTAAAAAATATTTATTTTATTTCAAATTATTTTTTTATATTTTTAAATTATTTTAATATACAACTGTCAAAAGTAATTTTAAAAATAAAAAAATAAAATATTATTTTAATATATTTTCAAATAAAAAATATTTTAAAAAAATAATATTATTATACTCTTAAACATTTCATAAAACATGACCGATATAATATCTAAATCAATCTAAATTTAAAAAGAAATATGGTAAAGTATAAAATATATTAAACTTTTTTTTATCTAAATAATATCCTTTTTTATCCTAAAAAACAGTTGGAGGAGCCCTTCCAATTTATGATAATAGTCTTGCACAAAAATGATCCTCCTACGGTTTTTAAAACTATAGTTTTATATGGAATTTATTATATTAAAACCATATTAAAAAAATAACATGAGGAAATGTAAATATATTAAAAAAAAGACATGAGAGTCTAAAATCTTACAATGATAATATTATCAGGATTGATGTCATTTATCATGTCATCAATTGGTTTAAAAATTATATTTTCATAGTCCCGTTGCATCCCACCACGAGTTTTTAAATTTAGTAAAAGCCGAACTCATATTTCATATTTACTAGGCTGTTAGAAGTGTTTTTGCTGAGAGTTGGATAAAAAACGTGTGTGTATATATTTGAAATTATAATTAAAAACTTAATCAAAACCAATATATCATAGTGAATTAATTGTTAATAAATAAATAAATAAGTTATCTTGTTCAAATGATAATCTGGTTTTTTTTTAATATTTTTTTATCATTTTAGTCTTGTTTGATTCTAACTTATATCAAAAAATAATAAAAAACTATATCAATTTGGGTTAATATAAAAATTTACAACTAAAATAATAAATATGACTATAATGAGTTAACCCGACTAAATAATTTATCTTTATTTTTTTTTAATTATTTTCTTTCTTGTTGGGTCTTGATTTGGTCTTAATTTATCATATATAAAAATAAATCTAAAAGTGAAATAAAAGAATTTAAGCAAAAACTTTAAAAGTTTGTCATATTATATTGATTGATCCTAGTCATATTTTACCATGGGTTATATATTTTTTTCTCAATATATAGATTTTTTTAATATGTTTTTGTTTTTAAAAATTTACAAGTGAAAATTTAAAAAATTTCATGTACATGCAAATAAACAAATTGAGAATCATGTGTGTTAATAAGTGATTGATACTTAAAAGTGTATTTTTATCAAGGTTTTATATCATCATTTTGCACTTAAAGTATCAATAACTCCTTAACTAAAGCATGTTTTATAATAATATATCTAATAATATAAGATACCTTTAATTTATGGTAAATGTTCATTTTAAATGCAGGTCTATCATATAAATGAAAGGATTGATTGATGAATTGAAGAACTGAAATTGAAAGGACAAAGAGATGGCCAAACTTAGAAAAGAGATGTTGGTGTAATCCAAACCGGAATACTGTTCGGTAATTGGGTCATATCTAGAGTTATAGATCTCAGATTTGGGTCTAATTTATATGGATGAAAAGGTAAGACATAGGCCTACAACTTTCATATGGAGCCCAGGATCTAAAAAGATCATTTTCAAGTCCAAATTGTAGCAACAACAAAAAAGCCTGAATCTGTCTTCCAGCCCGAGCACTATTCAGTATTTAGACCATATATGAAGTTCTAGAAGTACAAATTATCTGAATTTTTTACACAAGAAAGCTGAGACAATTGCCTACAACTTTCATGTTCACAACTG